ATCAACGCAAATCCTCGTGGCGTCCCCACATGTTTGACGCGGCCGGAATCCGTCTGTCATGGCGTCCGACCGCCGGGGCTGCCCTTGCCTGGACCCCGCTGCTGGACCCTACCGTGCCCGGGGGGGGGGCAGCACGTGTGGCGCCATTGCAAATCGAGCGTCGACTGTTCACTCGTGGCGATCGGGCGCGGCTCACTATGGGTGCGAAAAGGATGGGTCCCCCGGGGGCCTTTGCGCCGCGCTGTGCGCCGCCACGCCACGCCCACACACGCGCTGCCGCACCTCTCCGCGCCCCGCCACCGTCTGGGCGCGATACACATTTATAACATAATTTGATTCGCCTCTGTGCTGTATTGGTTGTAGTTTCCTTTTGGCGACAGTAAACCACGCCGCAGAAAGTGCTCGTAAAAGAGTATGCCTTGGCGTTATGTTGCCGCTACACCGGCGAGAGTGGGGAGATGAGGGGAAAGAGGGGTGGGGGTGGGGGTCCGGGGGTGGAAGGGGTTGCGTTTCCGGTCGGGGGGGTCTAGAAGAGGGGCGGGGGAGCGGGTTGCGCACCAAATCACCTGCCTGTAATGTTTCCTGTTTTTATTTTCCAAACTTTCTGTGTGGCTCGTGTGTCTGTGCTCTGTTCACCCACCCACGCACACATACACACTCACTAATATATACATGTACACATTTTATACATGTATAAATAACATATTTATATATAGCAGGAAACGAGCCAAACGCGCCGTGTTTATGGACATCAGCACGCCGTTTACACCGTGCTTACACGGGGCGCGGCCGTGGCGGATTACCGGGTCCCGCCGGGCCGAGGGAGTGAAGGCCGCGCACTTGGTAAGGGAAGGCCGCATTAAGGGAATAAAAAGAAATACCACTTGCGCACCTGAATTTGCGCGCGGCGGGCGAGGCGGGCCAGGAGGGCCCGCGGTGTGCAGGGGGGGGGGGGGGAGCGGTGGGGCTTGGGCGATTTATTCGCGGCCCGAAGAGTGGATAATAAAAAGATACGGAGGGAGGCGAGCGGGCCGCGCCGGGCGGAGTGGGGTACTACAGCATCCGCGGCCGTCAGCGATGCACTGCACTCACATCCAGGCCGGGCGGAGGGGGTTCATGCTGATTCCACGCATTAAGAGGAACCGAGGGAGGCACTCCTAAAAGACGAGCGAGATTTTAGGCTTCTGGGAAAGTGAGAAATTGTGTCGGGCACACTAATGCTTATGGTTAATTTTCACCGTAAGCACGGTGAATCAATCTCACGGCGATGCGCCCGCCCGACCGAAAATGATTGTTCGCGAAACGTTTGCCGTTTGTTCGCCATCGGTGCGCGGAGGGTCGCGGAAGGGACGCTGACGCGGGTCGTCAGTCGTCCATCTGCGGATTCACTGTAGCTTTTACAGTGACTCTTGACCTTAGTCATACTTGGTCATACATTCTGCGTTAGCTTGTTACACTTCAAAAGACAATGATCCGAAAACGAATTGTGGAAGAGGTGTCGGTTGCCTTCATTTTCACACGTTATGTTCAACTTTGAGCGTGGAGGTTTCGCGCTCTGCACTCTTGCCGTCTGTTTTCACCAGGGCGCATGCTTGGGCCCTGCACGGTGCGCCGCCATCGAATCCGCATTACCGAGTCTCGGAGAGGGGAGGGAAGCCCTTTGGTGGAACGGGGTCATTCATACCGAGATGTAGTTGTAGCGGAGCGCTGTAAGCCCGAAGCCCCGGTAAGCCCCGCGGAGAGCGCCCTGTGCGTTACACGGGCAGCAGCGGCGTAGCCGGAGAGCACACTCGGTGACGCCTCTGGACGGCGGGTGAGCACCGCCAGTCGGCACAGCCTCAACCTTTGAATGAGTTTTGCTATGCGATTGCGGTGGTCGAGGTCGATGTAGTTGTGCACACTGGTTTGGTTGTAGATGAACAACTCGCAAGGATGTGGTTGCTGGTTTAGCAAAATGTTCTAATGACACCAAACACTTGTATCCCCTGTGGCACTTTTCTACCCGTTTCTTGCTGTGGTGAAGTAACACAAGGACAGTCCTTTGCGCCGTTGACCTGCTAGCCGTTTCTCATATCGCTCACCTGGTGACCCCTGTCCAGACACAGAATGAGGGAGAACTTTCACTTCCTGTGAATCCATACGATATGTGTCGCTCTACGGCTTGCACTGCCTCCACACCGAGGGCCCCCTGCGAGGTAGGCAGCGCGGCGGCGCGGCTGTCGGCCGGGTGTGCCTACCCTGCGGGCTGAGAGGCCGCGGCGTGACGGGGAGAGCCTGGCGCTGTGCTCGCCCTGTGCCTGCCC